TATACAATTTTTTTGGTAGCAAATGTCTCATGTAAAGAATGTAATTCTTTTAGGGGAGTAAACTTCTCACAATTAGGATTTAAAGTTAGTGTTCCCTATCATGAAAATGATCAAAAATGTCCATGCGTAAAGCCATTCTCAGTTACTGGACTATACAAAACATTCAAACAGGTTATATTTACTTTGCCATTTCTTGCTCTAAGTATTAGTCACTTGAGAAACAAAACCATTATCACCAAAAACTTTATTTCCAAAGGTCCCTTTATAGTAATTGCAATCTGTTTGAATATTAAAATCGTCAGACTTCTTAACATAAAATGCCTAATCTTCAACAACCATTTCTAAAGAGTAACTTATGCATCTTTGATTCTTAGCTAAAGTGTAAATATGAACAAAGATTACTAAATACAGATAAGACATTTAAAGATTTTATAATCTAAGAATTCAAATTACACAGGAGTAAAATCATAGACAAAAGGCCAATTTTAAAAACACATAGTTAAAAACACAGGTTTTTATCATTACCTAGAGAAACAAAATAATCAGGATTAAAGAACTGAAGGCAGGTCACTCTCCTCACTCTGGAGAAGACCCACTTTCAGTCTATTGAAAGTGTATTCCTTTCCTACCAAACTTTACTATCATTTTCACTAAAACAACAACAACAACAACAACAACAAAAAAACTGAAGGCAAGCAAATGAAATAATAAGATGAAGAAGAAAGCAGGGAGGTTCTCTATTACATGTGGGGAGGGAGATTTCATAAAAATGTATCTTCAACATGTTGGAATATTAACTTGAAGTAAATGTTTAGTTTCTAAATATTATTAAATTTACTAAACTATATTCTTTCTGGTTATTATTTTAAATAACATCCTCATCTGATTCTAACCACTAGTTAGTTGTTATTCTTTTTCTTTTTTGAGATGTTGCCCAGGCTGGCAACAGTCAAATGATTACTAAAGTAATTAGGATTACAGCCACAAGGTAACTCCCTGGATTTCCTACACACACTTTTTTTTTTTCTGGTACTGGGGTTTGAACTCAGGACCTTACGACTGATAGGCAGGTGCTCACTTAAGTTACTCTGCCAGCCCTGGACTTTCTAACCATTAATTTAAAACTATATAACTTAACACTAATATATGCTTTTGCAAAAATTAGGAATAACCTCACCTACTCGGGAGGCAGAGATCAGGAGGACTGCAATTCAAGGCCAACAGAGCAAAACGTTAGTGAGCCCACCTCAAAGAACAAGCCCAGAATGGTGGTACAGGCCTGTAATCCCAGATATTCAAGAGGAGGATCACTGTCTGAGGCCATGCCAGGCAAAAACAAGAGACCTTATTCAAAAAATAACTAAAGCAAAAAAGGGGTGGGGATGTGGTTCAAATGGTAGAGTACCTGCCTAGCAAGTGCAAGGCTCTGAGTTTCGAACTGTCCCCCCCCCCAAAAAAAAAGAAGAAGAAAGAAGAAAAAGAATCTATCATTCTCAACTTACCTCCATATCTCAGCCTCACCAAGGATTCCAGACTAGAACCATTACCTTTGTGGTAGAAACAAGTACCTGACTTCTACAGCTGCCAAATTAAAATGCATACTCATTCTTTGCACCAAATAACAAATGAAGACATAAAATATTTTCTCATGAATGATAAAATTAGCATCTGTAGTTTTCAAAAAGACTCATTTTATTTAATTTGGAAAATCTAAAAGTACTTTAAAAAATATGTAAGCTTAACAAGGGGAGGAAATATTGCTGCCACGTATAAGCACTACAGTATAAAAGCACCTTTTTTTAAAGCTGTCTTTTCAGAGGAGTCCAAGGCAACCTATAAGTAGTAAGTTTTTAGTGCAGCATTTCTGGGAGAATGTGAACGATCCACCGGCTTTACTTAAAATTTTCGGATGTCTGATCACAGTACTTTAAGCTAAGCATCCTGCCTGAGTAATATGAGCTACTACAGCAGTGAGGTTCTTAAACTCTCAAAAATAAAGAAATAAAGACATGAGCAATGTATAATACAAAGTAGCTGAGTGTTGGCAAGAGTGTCTTATGACCCAGTTACTTTTAATAACCCTCAAAAGATTTTAATCTAAACTAGTAGTTAAGAAAGGCTAGAGGGGCTGGGATCAGGAGGATCATGGTTCCAAGCAAGCCCACGCAAATATTTTGACAGCCCCTACCTTGAAAATACCCATCACAAAAAAGGGCTGGCAGAGTGGCTCACAGTGAAAGCCCTGAGTACTCCTAGTACTGCAAAAAGTAAATAAATAAAGGATGGGGGGGGGGGGCTGGGAGGGTACACAGCACAATGCTCCAGGCCCTGGGTTCAATCTCCGACAACAAAAAAAAGTGGAGTAGAGCATACGCAGAAACAAGTATGTATGTTTTGGGAAAGTTCCCTATATTTTTCTAGTAACTTCAGACCCAATTCTGAACGTTTCTACATATTTGACACTTAAACTTTAAATCTCTCTCTCTCTCTCTCTCTCTCTATATATATATGCATATGTGTACATATATATGTATGTGAACATGTATGTATATATGCATGTTTACATACACACACATAGATACAGATTCTATTTGTACCAATTTTGTTGGTACAAAATTCCCAGTTACTCCTAATTTTCATTTCCTCTAGTTCCAAAGATGATACAATTTGAACATTCAGTATTTTTTTAATCACATTTAAGTTGGAAATCACGGAATTTTAGTGTTGAATAGCCTCTTAGAGATCATCAAATCTGAATCTTTTGGTTTTTCCAGTATAGAAATAGGACTGGAAAACATGCCTATGATCACAAATTGGAGAGTGGGAGCTGGGACTTACCCTCTAGTAGCTAGATTCAACTTCAAAGCACACTTCTGACCAGAAGAAGGCTGCAACTACTCTTTTTTTTTTCTCTCTACTAAGGTTTGAACCCAGGGCCTCGTGCTTGTTAGGGAGATACTCTACAACTTGAGCTTCCAGCCGTGAAACATACTCTTCAAGCAACTTGAAATCAGTGTTACACAAAAGAACTATTTAAGAAATGTCCTTTTCACCTACTACTTGGTGTAAAGAACATTATTGTATTTTAGATCCCAAAAGTTTTAAAGAATTAAATATTTATTTTCATACTATCATATGTTCTGATAATTTAGTAAATCCTTATTCATATAAAATTCCAAATTACTGCTGCTTTCATCTTAATATTTTAAGAAGTTTAAATGAAATTATTCAAATTTCTAATATTAAGTTATTTTCTTCTACTTTATCTACTATAATTGTAGTAAGGATCTCAATGTAGTGTGAAAGCTTAAAACTGGGGATCAAGATGTCAGGTTTCCATCTCAAATTTATAATTCTCTGAACTAGTTTACTATCAAATCTCAACCTCTATTTCTTATCTCCTGCTTAAGGATGATTATAACTTTAACAAACCTCGTATCTATATTCCCTCTAATTTTCACAGCTTAGAAGATATGCATTTACTTATTCTAAAGATTGAAGAAACTGAACATCAGAGAAATTAAGCAGATTTTCCAAGAAGCTGAGCTAATTAAGTGGCTAGGCCAGAATTTAATGCAGTTTTGTGTTATACCACTTTGCTCATAACCTGATATAATGGGTGATCATGGTGTGATTGGGAAAACAGTAAGTACAAGTCAAGAAACCCTTATCCAAAATGCTTAGAACCAGAAGTGTTTTCAGGTCTAAGTTTTCAGATTTGGGGATATTTGTGAGGACTTCACCAACTGAATATCCCTAATCTGAAAATATGAAATCCAAAATTTCTGAAATCAAAAACTTTGAATGCCCAACAGGATATGTGCCAAAAGCCTTGGATTTTGGTGCATTTTGGACTACATTTGCAGGACTATTAGGGAGATAAAAGAAATAAAAATAAAAATACACACTGAGAAAACAGCAGTGACACTTGCTTCAGCGAATAAATTGAAAGTGAATTTTATACATGATTTAAAAACTAATTTGCCGAGATAGTACTCTTATTATCAACAATGGAGCACGGTACAATTAAAAAATACACCAATCTTTCTTTAGAGATAACATTGCAAAATAAGCTGGAAAAAAGGCTCCCCTACTTCCTAGGTAAAAAATAATATTACTCTGAAAGTCCCATTAAATAATATTCTCAGAAAGTCTCAATAAATCATACATACATAGTTTTAAACGTGATAGAGGAAATCAAGGTCACTTGGTATCAGTTCTTGTCCTTTCAAACAGACAAAAACACCCTCAACTATGAACGAAAAGAGGACAAGCAGATGTTTAACACGGGACACCACACAATTTATACGTTCTCCTATCAACCCTTCTTCTCCACTGAAGATGGACAGACACTGCGACTGCTGCCCTGACTGAAATCAAAACGCTTCCCCAACAGAAGTTTCTATCATGTCTTACACAAGTAAAATGTTCAGCAAAAATAATACCAGCAAAATGCTGAAGAGACAGTGCACAAGTTACTCCCTGTGTGAAGTCAGTGGCTCTGTACAGTTTAAATGCACGGTGTGTGGGGGCGGGGGGCGGAACTAGAGCGAAAGTAGGACGTTAACTAATAAACGCAGCCCAAAAGCAAAACTGGAATTGCAGTTTTAGGTTGCCCTACAACTAAGCAGTTCTGGTGCCGCACACACTGCAGCACAGGTCTTGGTGAGTGACCTGGTACGGGACTTAGCGTCAACACCTCTGTGCCTCTGGGTCTCTGCCCAACAACCGCCAAGTGTTAGTCAACCCGGGTCCCGGGAGGATCCTAACCGCGGCATGAACGCTGTGGCTCCGCCATTAGGTCTAGGCTACATCTAGACCTAACTTTGGTTCCCACTTCTCTTTCCACCGCGTCAACGACGCCCCGCCCCGCCCGGTCCGCTGCACAGTCCCTCGGTTTCTAACAGTGGAGAGCGCAAGCAGGGGGACGCGAGGACAAACTGCAAACCCCCAGGACCGCAGGACAGCCTCCCGGAGGAGCCCGCTCCGCGACACCTCACCTCGATCTCGCAGATGTTGTTGGAGGTGACGAAGATGCCGATGCCAATGGGGATGAAGATGAGGCCGATGACGAAGAAGGTAGGTAGCACCGTGCCGGCCGTGAGGATGGGCTGCCAAGCCGGCAGCCGTTGCTGTTTGAAGGCCGTGTTATCCGGCCTCGGGGTCTTCGCGGTGCCCCCCGGAGCACACGGAGGGCCCCCGTCCACTTCATCCTTGGCGTTATAGTTCATCGCCATCGACCCCCGAGCTGCGACTCCGCGACGTGCAGGTGGACCGCCCAGGGGACCCGCCCGCTGACCCTGACAGGAGACGCGCAGGCGCCGCTGCCGCCGCCGCCAGCAGCCGACAGGCGGAAGAGGCGGGACACTCTTCCGCAGACGGCTGCTGACCGGGAGCGAGAGTCCACTGGGGACGCCAGTGGGAGGGAGAAAAAGAGAGGAAGGAGGAAGAAGACTGAGGGACAAGGGGAGGGGGAAAAGGGAGGAGGACAGAAGGGGGAGGAAAAAGGCGGACGCACCCTGATCATCTGCCCTGTGACGACAAAGTGAGGGACTCAGCCCGCGTAGAGCGCGAGGCTACGTTGACGCATGCGCGACCCTGGAGCTAGGGACCGCGCACGCGCCCTAGGTGCACCCTGGTCCGTGGGCGGGAGCGTCTGTTTGCACAAGTCTGTCTACCTCGGTTATCATGGCGACCGCGGCGTCAGGTGGTGACCCAAGCCCTTCTTGCCCGAGCCTCCCCCCGTCATCCACGAAGAGGTGTTTCTGATGGCTTTGGTGCTTGAACAGGCTTTTCTTTTGACCTCGACGCCTTCCCTAAAAGGGAATTAGGGCGTTTAAAAGGCCACAGCAGGGGAGCCTGAGTCCGCTGGGAATAGCAGTATCTGCTTGGGTTGTAAATTGCCACGCAAGGTGTAAATAGAAACTTCAACTGAGAGACGTGACCTGCGACCCTTTTTTTCTGAAGAGTCAATAGTGGGACTTGGTTAGCCCTCTTACCTTACCAATAATTGACGATTCTTATTTTTCCTCCATTACTGGTCATTGGGTTACTTTGTCCTTTTTCTTTATCTGACATTCTTTTCTACACATTGAAGTCTTTCGTAATAAGCTGTAGCTTCTTTTTTAGCTGTTGACAATAAAAAACCTGAACATGTAGCGTTATGTAAAATGTCATAGTACATACTTTAAAACTGCCAAGGACATACTCAAGGTATAAAAACTAAGGATACCAAAGTAGTAACAGTAAATATATAGAACTCAGCTAAAGAGCCTAAAATACCAACCTCTGTTGACTGGATGAAGGATTTTTTTGTTTCTTTGCGCTTTTTAAAAAAAAAATTCTCACAAGTACATATTGTTTATAAAATTTAAAAGATACTTAAATGCAATCTACATTATCACTGTTTGAAATCCAGACCAGAGAGTAAGTCAGATAACCTGAAAACAAATATCCAGACTTCATTCTTTTTGCTTTTTGGAAAGGGAAACTGAAAAATGCTTGGCCTTCATAATTTGCAAGCTTGTCCTCAAATTCTTAGTGCCACTAAAATACTTTGGACCATATTTTGTTTTGGCTATGTACATTTACTTTCAACCTTAGATTCTAATGGAAAACAATCTGTCACAGTTAATGGAGAAGACATGGAATTATTTCATTTTGCTAAATTCTGTTAGAAAAAAATGATCACTATGTGAAGTATAATCCAAAAGTATGTTTTTTCTCCCCACTCTTGCCTGTATCATCACACCCATTAAGTATAATAATACTTTAACTGATGGATTATTCCAGCATTCTGTATAAATGGTCAATTATAGTAGATCTCCTATCCATAAGTTTGGCATCCATGGACTTGACCAACCTAGGACTAAAAATATTTAGGAAAAAAAAAAAGTCTCAAGGTCTGAGAGTGTAGCTCTGGTAGAATACTTGCCCAGCATGTGCAGGGCCCTGGATTCGATCTCCAACACCTACAAAAAAATCTGTGCTGACCATGTAGACTTTTCTCCCATCACTATTCCTTAAATGGTATGGTATATCTATGTACATAGCATAATCTAGAAATGATTTAAAGTATGTGAAAGGATGTGACAGATTCTATGCAACTACTATGCCATTTTATATAACGGACTTGAGCATTCAAAGATTTGGGTATCCACAGAGGTCCTGGAACCAATCTCCCTTAGATTCTCAGGGATAAATGTATTTTGCCTTTAGGTTTTGTTGCTGCTGCTGCTGTCCTGTGATTTGAGTGACCATGGTACCACTTAATTGGTTTTATTTCTCTTTAATTTTGTTTATTCATAGGAAAGATTAACTCCTTATCTCTTTTTCATTAGAAATTCAATTTTGACTGAAACAGACATGTAGAGCTGAAATCTTAAATTTTCATCTAAAACTTAATTTTCAGATGAGGTTCAAAGGGATGAAATTATTTTTTTAGATCTCTTGATATCTTTCCATTTCCTTTCCCTACGTTACGTATCCACAACATGCTTCTTTATGCAGTTAACACGTTTTTAACCTCCACATTATTTCAGGGACTCAGAATTTCATAATTTCATTTATCATACATAGTATTATGATACACCTTAGTAGGTGGTTTTTCATTAATACTCTGAAGTATGAATTTTTTATTTTTTTCCTTGGCAGTACTGGAGTTTGAACTCAGGAATTGATGCTTGCTTGAGTTATTCCATCAGCCCAAGAAGTAGAATTTTTAAAAGAAATTTGTTCATCATTTCAGGGGCAAAAAAACAGAATAATTGTTCTCACAGTGATTTTCAAAAAATGGTGGTTAGGAGTGATGGGGGGTGGTTCACTTAAATAACATTTGTATTATTCAAATGATTGTGAACTTGCTGATTCCTGATAAAAGTAGCTAAATGGTGGCTAAATGACATTAGTGCTGTCAGGTCAACATACTAAGTGTGCAATGAATGCATGAGCCCAATTATAAAAATAAATCCAAAATGATAGAATGGATGCAAACCCAAAATCTAAAAAAGGGTAGACTTTTAGCTTTTGAAGGGAAGGTTTTATACAATTTTCATCTTTTAGTTCAATTTCTGTATTTTGCCACTGAACCAGAAACATTGAAGAAAAAAAAGTGTAGAAGAATAACTTGGGTAAGTTAAGGAATGAGAAAGAAGAAACTAAAACTGGTCTGTCCACAGTTTGGCCAAAGTTCCAAACAGATCTGCACTTGGACTCCTTTGACAAGGCAGTGCTACTTTAGATCTCTAGCTTCTAACCATATTCAAACTGTTCCATTCACAATTTAGGATTGCTTAGAAAAGTTGAAAAGGGTTGAGAAATGTACCAGAGTTTTACAGCATGAATTTCAGAGAAGAGTCTTAGAAACTGGGACTGGTTTACATTGTTTTCAGTACTTTTGTTTTTCCCCTCCCTATTCAGTTAACCATGGCAGCTTAGAGAACTTCAGTAGGACAAGATAATACTAATTTTTAATTATCTCTGAGGACTTTTAGGAGAAAGTGATGTTCTATTTGTGCAATAAATTTATTGCCTGTATTACTTGCACCAGAAATTGGTTGATCCAACCTGATTTTGAAAAATTAACGTTTTCCTTATTTTATGTAGTATAGTTATTGAACTCTTACAGTCGACATTTAAGAAACCTTTTGTTCTTACATTGAGAGTTGGTCTAATTAGCCTGAAATCACTGGTGTTGTGATTAAATATTTTGCAAGTTGTTGAATAATCATTCAGTAGTTAGAAATACTAGTCAAGCAAGCTATTTTAGTGGTTAGTGTCATTAAAGGAAAGAACAGTGACACCAAAATTCCTTAATAGACTACCTAAGAACTTTGTTTGAAGAGGAAATAAGGTTTCGTTTTTTGTGGTCCCACACTGTCTTTAAATGGAAGAATATAATTCTAATGAGACCTTAGATTTCATGACTCCCATGTCATCAATTATAGATAAGGCCTTATCTTTGAATATGTTGCCATCTCTAAGTTGACAGCCAGCTGACATCTGTTACATGCATAAAAGAGAAGTTAATTATTTTAAAAGGGATGAAGGAGGAAAGAGGCTTAGTGTACTCCATGAGAATCCACAGAAAAGTGGATCTTTACAAAACCATTCTTTTAAAATCATGTTTGGATCATTTTTGGACTTACTTTAAACTTACATTTTCTAATTTTCCAAGTTTTAAATTATTGGAAGTCCTAAATGGCAGAAGTGCATTCCATCATGACTTATTTTTTGAAACCTTTGAGTCGCTACTACCTAGAAGTTATTTTTTTTATTTAAAATAACTCCAATATATTCTTGGAGGTTAACCTTTGCCAAATGTTCTTATGTTTTAAAGTGTACTTTATTGAGCATTAGAAATGAAAACTTTTTTTAAAAAATCAGTGGCACTGAATATTTATAACAACAAAGACTAAGAGCTTCCTTCTGACTAGCACACCATAAAGCACAAGAGAGGAAATAGACTGTTCCCCAGCATCATTGTGGCGGGGGGAGGGTACTATTGTTTGAACTCAGAGGCTTGGACTTGCGAAGCGGGCACTCTACCACTTAGGCCATCCAACCCTTTTTGCTTTAGTCATTTTTCAATTAGGGTTTCATGTTTTGCCAGGGGGTGGGGGAGCAAACTTCAGTCCTCCTACCTAAAGCCTCCCTTTAGCTGGGATAACAAGCATGGACCACCACACCCAACCCACAAAATCATTTTTATTATCATTATTATGTGTTCTCTGGACAGAGTAATCTGTATTCCCTGTCACCACTTCCTTAACTCAGTCATTCAGCAAGCCACTGATCTCTGACTTGAGACCCCACCTCCAATGAAACTGCCTTGTTAGCTAATTTCCACTCACCCTTCAGCAGATCTGTAACCAAAATTTAAGGAATATTTCTTTGAGCTTTAGAAGAGAACTACAATCTATTCTCTGAACTCAACATGACTTATACATACCTCCATCCTCCATCCTTGCACTTAACCATATAGTATCAAAAAATATCTTGTTTATATATCTTTCTTACTAGATATAAACTCCTCAAGGTTTAGAAACTGCTTTTATTCACTTATCAAGGTCCATCACTTGGCAAAATGCATAAGGCATAAAAGTACTCAATAAATTTTCAGCTGACCTGGCCTACTATCAATGAACTTACATTTTTGTAGAAGAGATCGCTTGCCAACAAACAATTGAAACACAGTAAAGTCATTACCCTATAAGATGAAGTAAGGGATTGTAGGAGCTACACTGAGGTGCCATACCACATCCCCTCTTTATGATGTCAAAAATGAAAAATGAGGAAATGAATCCTAAGGTTGGAGTTATATGTGGTTCTCTAGCCAGGAGAGAAAAGAATAAAAAGCAAAGGAACTTCATTAATGCTATGCAAGACTTACTACCCTGGGTGGAAATACAGGCAAGATTTTAGCAGGTTCTAGTTTCCATGGAAACAGACATTTCCAGTGTGTTCCATTTTGGGGAGATATTCAGTTTGTTAACTTACACAGTTCATTTGTCCCATTGCCTGCTGACACTAATGCTCTGTACAGGAACTAATGCATGGCCTCTTTGTGAAATGAAGATGAATGAGCATACTTCTCTTGTTAAAACAGCATATACTTTCTGGTGACCTGCTGTAGGCCTTTTGTCTTTGCAGACAGCATATTTCCTTTATAATCTGAGATTATTGAGGATCTTTTCACATCTTATCCAGATTATCTTTATCTAAAACCTTCAGTGGACACAGAGTCATGCCATTTGAGTTAAGTATATGATTTCCTATCAAGAGATGGAAGAACTCTGCACAAAGAGACAGAAAAGCCAAAAAAGAGAATGTGGATGTAGTCATGGAAAAGGTCTGCAGAAATAGGAGCAAAGAAAATAGGGCAGTTGAAGGAAGGATGAAAGTTCCATCTCTTGGAAATCTGACAGGTTTTATCCCACTAAAGGATCAAATTAAGGTACTGTGGTGTGGCTCAAGTGCCTGCTTAGCAAATGGGAAGCTCTGAGTTCAACCCCCTGTACCGCAGATAGATAGATAGATAGATAGATAGATAGATAGATAGATAGATAAAATTATGGTGTAACTCAGAGGAAAAGCAGCCCTGCTCTACTGCCACATCTACTTATCCATAGTAAAAGACATTGCATTTTTAAGAAAATGAAATGCAGAGCTAAAAACTATTTAAAAGCAAATGATTTTAAGTAAAAGAAGGCTGCATACACATTTTAAATTACTTTAATTTTATGAATATTATATTCCAACCCAAAAAAAGAATATTGCACAATGCTTTAATAGTTCACTGTAATGTTTTTCACACTCTGGTGAGATTTCCATAAACATAGTTCACTTTGAAAGTAACACAGAGAATGTCTTAATGGAGTGAAATAATTTCAATCGCCTATGAAGAACTGAAGCTAGGATATTACATTCATATGAAAGGCAAGTATGTAAACTTACTTGGCTTCAGTGAAAAGAAATAAACTTCTCATGTACTTAGTAAAACTTAAAGAAAACAAAAAGAAACAAATTAAGAATGGCGTAAAATAGAATGTATTTCCAAAATTTTTTCAATGTGCTCTTTTGTTTTTGGAAATACGTTAAACTTGCAGGAAGGTTAAGGATATCTGATCACATTTATTTTGGAGAAGCTAACACCTGATTTTTTTAAAACAAAAACTAGTTTTAAAAATACAAACCTACACTGCTAAAACAATAAATCTCTGAATGATAAGGTAAAAATCTCCAAATCACATAAAAAATACGAGAAAATAAGTGTATCACATCATGGCATCCACAAGTATTTTCTGTTCAAATTTATGAATACATCACATTTCCCTAGAGAGCAAACACAGTTGTCATCACATAACTGTGGAATAAATGCTGAGAATTTAAGGAAAAATACTAATAGTCACCAGATTCCCAATTCTTATAAATTATTACAGCTATTTTTCTTCTTTGTCTCTAATTAGTGTTTTTACTAGAGACATAGCTTTACAGGTACAGAAGAGGCTATATGCCTCAGGTACCAATTGTGGGTTTTTTGAAGTGTCATTTTGCATGTTTGATATGTTTAGATTTGTTGATCACACAATTCATGAGTATACCCTCATGAATTACTATGCTTTTTATTTCCAAGACAATTCAACCACAGCATTAATAAGGTAAAAGTATCACATTCATGATACACCACTTACTCTTGCTTTGCCACTGATTTTTAGAAGTAATTATTTCAACATTATTGGTGTCTGTTCATGATTAAACCAGATATTCTATACTGTGAAAAAATGATGATCATCTTAAGATACAATGAATTTTTCACATTTTTCTGAACATTCTGGACATCTGACATCTGGTATACTTACTCTATGCACTATCCTTCATCAAACCTTACTACTTTTGAAATACTTGAAAAGAATCTGCAGAAAATACGCTCAAAAAACACTGTCTTATCAAAAAGTGTAGCTGGGCATGATGATGCATGCTTGTAATCTTGATACTCAGGAGGCAAGAGCAGAAGGATCACGAGTTCCAGGCCAGTCTGGGCTACATAGTGATCCTGTCTCACAGAAACAAAAACAAAAAGCATAAAATTGTTGGGCCTTGAGCTGGAAACTTTGATTATATTTCAGACAAATTTATAATTATTCTATTAAAATTATTCTCATTTAGACTGCTCATTGGAAACCTACTTATAATAAATTGTAAAGAAATTTTGTGCTGGTGGCTCATGCCTATAATCCTAGCTACTCAGGAAGCAGAGATCAAGAGGATCGCAGGTTCAAAGCCAGCCAGGCAAATAGTTCATGATACCCTATATTGAAAAAACCCAACACTAATAAAGGGCTAGTGGAGTGGCTCATGGTGTAGGCCCTGAGTTCAAACCTCAGTACCGCAAAAAAAAAAAAAAAAAAAAAAAAATTGTGTGATGTGAAGAGTGGATTGCATGAGAAGGCAATGTTTTTAATTGGACATGGATGTTAAGATATGGCTATGATCTTTATGATCTTGCTTGTTAATGTTCTCATTTTAGTTCAGAATTACTGGGATTAATTTTGCTCATCTATTGCTCAGATTCCATTCCAGTTTAAACAGAGGCCTTACTGATAGCACAGACAGAAAAAACTCAGTATCTGCCTCAAGGACTTATTGCCTCACCACCCTCACTGTTCTGGCAAGTACCAAATTCCATTACAAATTCAGGAGGAAATTCCCCCTCTTATCCAAATATATATAAATTACTAGTAATATTTTAATTTAAAGTCCCAAAGTATTTAAAATAATATCCTCTATTAGTACAATAAGATTCCCACAAGTTGAGCAAAAGTTATATGCTTCAAATGCTATTCTGTGGTCTAGCTGAAAGTTTTTGGCATCAGAGGTATAATTAAACATTGGCAAATAGGGAATTTAACTGAGTCAAAAAATATGACAACACTAAACAAAACTATTTTCTCATGAAAATGTCACTGCAGTTTAACATTTCAGAAAAAGAACTCAGTAACAAAAATTTAAACTCTTCACACGTACACACTGTAGTTTTCTGAGTCAGTAATCATATCTACAGGAGATTATGTGATATTTCCACAATCATTCAAGCTAGAGCAAGACTACTGTAGCATTTCTTTTACTTAAAAAAGCAATAATTATTTTAACATAAAATATAGCTATTTAATATAGAATACATGTTGAATATGATTTGCCAACTCCACAAGGCATACCTTAAAACCTTCCAAGATTACATAGAGGAGGGAAAGTTAAAATTAATTTTTCCCATTTCAGAGATTCTGTGACTTATAAACCTGGTTACAAATTGTGGACTGGAGAGATGAGGCAACAATATTACCTTGTGGCTCCTACTTATTCTTTCACGTTCAGAAGTATTCTCTCTTTAATCTTAGTAAAGTTATACTGTAAATGATTTCAGCATTCAGAAAGATGTGTGAATTCTTAATTCATCTTTAAGGTCACCTTTAAGATCTTGTTGAGAACAAGTCCACATTAAGAAAGTCCTTTTTAAAAACCTACAGTTTCGTTGTCAGAATTTCAAGTAGACTTTAGACACATATTTTCACATAATCCTAAATTCAACAGCAGCTTCTGATCTAGAGATATGGGTAATATTTTTGCTTATTTAAAGACTATATTCTCTCATGTGGCTATGAAAATCTACCAAAATCAGAGGGGAAATGTGATCTTCTTTGGATCTCTCTAAGTTTTAAAAGATGCTGACATTATCTAGGTCATTTATTTCATTGAGTAGTATGTGAGAAATGTGTCTTTATTATGTTTTGTACATATAAGGAGATAAAGCAAATAGAAATATTGTCGTCAGTTGATGCTGTCCCTGTTTCCTTTACTAGTTAAACTTTTTACATATCCTTCTATTAACTCACTACATGCAAAACTCAGTTCATCCAGGGTTATTGACACAGAACACCAGAAAAAAGCTGGTTTTTAAGTATTTAAATTAAGCTCCTAACTCAGAGCATTACTTTTTACTTTTGAACCATGATTGGAACGATAGCATTATACAAGCAATAATACAATTTTCTCCCAGAATCTATTTCTTGGTTTTATCTCTTCAATTTACCCTGGGAAATACAGTGTTGTGCTTTCTTTTCCTCAAAAATAACAAATTGGTAAAAAGAAAATAATTATAGGTTAACATTTTGAATGCAAAAATACCAATACTTCGAAGAACTGACAGTGTGTTCTACAGATATATGTGCCATAGACTGAAAAAAAGAAACAGTTTAGGAAAAAGAATCACATTACAAAATGTATTATAAAAATAAATTACATAGCATGTGCCCATAGACCTAAAGTTTTGAAAAAGGAAAAGAATTTTCTTTTGGCACAAAGACTCAACTGCTTTTGCTACATATTACCATATTATCAGCAAAGCTGTGTTCAATTTTTACATTATATCCTCAAAAAAAAATCACTGGAAATAGTAAAATTTCCAGTGGTGATCAGTAGCATGGAGGACCTTAGTGGCGATGCAGGACTGCAGAAATACTATCCATTCAACAGGGACTCAGAGGAGGCACATACACCCAGTGTGTGCTTGGTAATCTCATCGGGAGTTCACACGCAACTGGTGAATGATGATACTTTCTACAAAGAGAAGAAAGACACAGCATTTCTAATTAAACTCAAATCAGTAGTTTATGGGAGGATCAATACCACATCATTTTACCAAAAGACTGTCAATGTTAAATAACAAAACAAAACAACAGCAACAACAAAAAAAGGTACAGGAGCCCACTAGCATCTCCTGCTGTATTTTGCTATTCTTGGGTAACTTCTTTATATTGGCATATGTGCTTTATGTCTAAAATTCTTAAAGCCCTTTAGAATCCATGTCTAATATTTTAACAATACGAGACTGATATCACTTAAGGAAAGAACTAAATACAAAGATAGTGATTATTGTGTGAAAGCCTCATAGTGGAAAAATAGTTTAACCAACTCTCCTCTCCTGGCAAAACTCTTCCTGCGCTTTAATTTCTTTTTCTTTACGGATATAGATTGGATTTTAATAAGGAGATGAGCATCACCTATTCCTACATCACTACACACAGATCTCCCTGCTTCTTTTTGCCTGACTATGTAGGCTTTTACACCCAAATTCGCTTTTTAAAAATAAGTATAAAATAGACAGTGATAGTAATTAGAACAGTCTGGCCACATTTGTGGACATTTAGTATTCATGTTTGTTGGATTGGTTTTGCTTTCATATTAACCTTTATGCCTTCATGAACATGTCTCGCCATTACTTCTTTTATTCAATCTTTCAAGAGCTATTTATTTATTGAGGTTATACACTGTGCTAGATACAAAACTACATTGGTGAGAAAAATGAGTCTTACCATAGCTGACATTATACACAGCAGAGGAAAGAAAATGAACTCAGACTCAGATCACTTCCCCGTCTGAAAATTTTACCTTCCCATCACCTGTGACAATGTCTTGAGTTAAGAAACATATGCCAGCATTTATCAATAGTATGAAGAAATTTCCACATCTTATTTTCACTTTAATTTCAAATACTGTACCTACATTTACATTTTATTTTTACTTAGGTAGTTAATATCTAGGTAAACATTAGGCCACAGACCTATAGGTTCATGCTAATTATGTCCGAAGGTGATCCTCTGTTGGTTTCATCTTTACCTTATGAAGGCCACTAGGGGGAGATATTTCCTTTCCTTAGCCTTTTGGCTTGAATTTGCAACAAAACATACAAAGGCAAAGTAAAATGAAATATATTAATGTCTTATATACTTAAGAATATTCAGCTATAAAGGTTTTGTAAAACTTTTAAGACATACATACAATTTTTATTATATCAGAAACTATTAAAAATCATCTCATGTTTTTACAAAATGAGTATTCCAGATTCAACTTCTTTAAATGCCTAAAAATGTATCAAAGTCTGTGAACAAAAAGTAAAAGCACTTCCTATAATATTATGTAGTTTAAGATCAGAGTTTAAGATTAAAATTCTATTTCCCAGTAAATATTTTTAATTTTTTTTCTGTAGTACTCTTCAAAGAATGAAAACCCCTCGGCCTCAAATCCCCCTTATGTAATTGAAGTGTCTTCCTCAATCCCCTACTTTAAGAAAACCTAGGACACAAATTTAAAAAGTGGAATCCAAAATAGTTCTTAGTGTACATGTAACTCAGAATGCTTGTGCCTGTTTCCTTGTCAGAAAATGAGGGTACTAGAGATTGCCCCTAATGTCCCCTGTAGAGTTAACATCTTGTGTTACTATAATGCTTTCTTCTGTCTTGAGTGTACAAGCCTCTTAATTCCTAAAGTTGCCATCTTTTAATCCTAGCATTTTGCAATCTCCGTAATAACAAGAGCCGTTTAGAATTAGTATTTGTGGAAATGCATGTAAGCTAAAGTTTCATTTTTTATATATAGATAACTTTTTTTTGACAGTACTGTGGTTTGAACTCAGGGCTTCTTGCCTACTAGATAGGTACTCTACCACTTGAGCCACACCTCCAGCCATCATTATTATATATAAATTAGCAAACTGGCAATGCACATATATGTGTGTGTGTGTGTATATATATATATATATATATGCTGCATAATATAATTAAGCCTAAATTATCTTGTTTTATACACAAGGAGATATATGTTATCTCATTTCCAAAGATAGTGAGACAAGATCTATCTGATAGTCTTTACTAATTAAAATTTATTAGACATATTAATTAAATGTATAGTTGCTTATTATCTGTTTTCCCAAGTCTCAACTGAATTTACTCAAATAAGTTTCAGTCGGACAGTATATAAAATTGTGAAAAATATTTTACACATTTACATTTTGAAATTACACATTTCACAGTAAAACATTTTTGTTGAAGTTGCAAATTCAGCAAATTTTATCCCATCTCCTTCTCTGTCTTCATTTCATCCTAAACTAAGACCCAAGTACAGGTTATTTTGGGTCTCCAAGTGACCTCAGTATAATCAGGTATAATTCTTTAACAATTTTCTCTTTTTATAGATACTTCTTTTTTTTTTTTGAGGTACTGGGGTTTGAACTCAGGGCCTCATGCTTGCTAGGCAGGCGCTCTACCACTTAAGTCATTCCCCCAGCTTATAATACATTTTCATGACATTAGTAATTTGTACTTAATAGGAAGATTGAGACCAAAAATCACAGTTAATTACCTCCTTTGTCAGCAGATTCAAAATAACAAAAATACTTATATATGGGGCCTTTTTATACACAGGTATTTATTAACATAATTTCTCTTCTTTTCTAATTGGAAGGGGAAAAAAATCCTTGAATTGTAGTTATCCAGTACATATGAGGGACACTAGATTTGTCACACTTTTGAAATTAACAATTTACCAAAATACACTTACAGATATCTCCCCCTATATGTTTCTTTCAAGTATTTATCTTGATGTTTTTTTCCTTAAGAAACTTTGGGCAACACCTTAAATACCTTATTTGTTACTAGGACATTATTGTAAAATGATGTGGCTTATTCATTCTTTTATTACACTAGCTATTAGATAAGTTCCAAAGGAAGTTCAACATATTATCAATTCCTAATTACACTTGATTTTTGACCTTCCTGAGTATTCATCCTCTGTGGGTGGTATCCCAAAACTGTTGGCCAGCCAGATGACCTAAGTTCCAATGCTGTGTGCATGAGCCAGGATTTGGGGAGAAACTTGGGGGAGCATGTCTCTTGAGTGGTAGAGTGAGGGCAACCTCACAATATGCTGGAATTTTGTTTCTCCCTGAAAGAGCTCCTTGGCTATGCAAGGGAAAGATGTATTCCCTAGAAAGTCAATACCTCCCTCCCAAGCAACACATATTGTTTCATTCTGCTAAACTCTCTGCAAGGAAATGAGCTCTGAATTTTAAAGGTCTGTTCTAGTAAATTATACCAGATCAGTTTAGTAACTAGGCTTTAAGTTCACACACCAAAGACAAAACATAGTGGAAGCTCAACTTACAGCAGGACTTTACATCTGCAAGAGAGTACTCTTCATCCATGGAAAGTTGCACATCAAGTTACAGAAAACCTTTCCTCTTGGATGTTGTATCAATTTGGCTAGCTCACAGCCTGGCTTCCCGTGTTCTGTGGATCCCTGCCTACCAAGGACTTTGCCTGGAAGACACCTTCTGAGCTTTGGAAAGTGCTGTTGTTCTTCAACAGCAACTCCACCAGCTCTGAGCTTGCTACCCTCAGGGTACTTTACTGGCCTGCAGAAATGTCCTAAAACATATATGCCGTTTAGAAGTAGGCATACCTAGATCTTACTTACTTTTAAGTTTATTATTTCATAAACTGGTTCAAGATTCAACCCTGTTATTATCATATTCAGAAATTCATCAGAGTTATGATAAAACATCTGTTTTAAATAGGAAGTTCAATAAACTTCCTGTGTTGACTTGGACTTGTATTCCTTCTTTTGGATTCAGCTCAGCTAATTAAAAAGACTTCCGATAGTCAGTTCTGTCATTTGCTCCAGAAAAGTTTTGAACCAGATGATATAAACTCTCTGGGGGTTTTGCAACCACCTAATACTTCATTTGTTTCCTTCCAAAACATTTTCTACTCCACCATCAGCCCAAATCATCCCATTACCTTCCTGGGTTGCAGGAGCTATCAATAATTATAGTAATTACTGTGACTAATAACTTCTTCTCAGGCAAGCTAATCCTTCTCACTAGCATAAAATGCTACTTCCCAGAACAAGCAAATTTGAACTGGTTCTCTCATCTATAACATTCACCATAAATGAATACTAAATGGTGGGAAAATAGGTAAATATTTGAGCCATGTATGCTCAGGTTTTGCTTTTTGAGGCATAAATGCTTAATGTTCAAATATATCTTTAAATTTATAACCAATTTTTGGTTTTTTGTTTTGATTTTTTCTTTTTGGCAGTATTGGGGTTTGAACTCAGGGCCTCATGCTTACTAGGCAAGTGCTCTACCACTTGAGCTACTCTACCATCCCCAATTTTTTATCCTGGCTTCATCATTAATAAGATGGTTAGACATCTCTAAGCTTCAGGATTTTCCTTTTTCTTTCATACTTTTAATTTTGGGGGGAAAATTTTGGTTTTGTTTTTCTTCTTTAACAACAGAGATACTTATCCTGTTGATCTGTAGAATCTGATTCAGCTCTAATCAACTCTGTGAATTTGCAGTTCTGTTCATCACACAGTCATCACATCAGCACAAGTAAAGAGACTAAAAGTATTTTTACCAGATGAACATTAATCATTAGTTCTTAGGAAAACTGTAGTAGGATCTTGTGAGCTGTTTACTGAACAATAGAAAAGCATATTATGACTAAAGAAGGATGCCAGAACCATATAAGATTACAGCTAAATGCTAAGCCATAAGCCAAGGTGAGGTGATTTGCTGAAGGTTACACAGCCTTTCAGTGGTAGAACAGGGATTTCTCCAACCTCCTGGTTTTCAGCTTTCTCAGGAATCTGCTCCATTGTTCAGCAACTCTCCTTCTCTGTTTGTTCACCTTGATACCTATCCTCTCCTGCTTATTGGTGGTGTTGTTTGCTCCTTTAAAATAAGAGCCTGTCTGCTTGGTGTGTGTGGTGGG